TCTCCGTCTGGTTGGAAAAGATTCCAATATACTTATTGGTGGGATACCTGGAAGCCCATGTTCTCAAAAAATTGTTCTCACGATACAGCTCACACCTTACGAGGGCTTTATCTATGTAAAATATGTGTGAGTGTGTGTGTGTGAGAGAGAGAGAGAGAGAGAGAGAGAGAGAGAGAGAGAAAGAGAGTGATTTTTTTTTAATTGGTCAGTGGGAAATATCATGATGACATTTCTGAACTTAAGTCTCTGGAACCCGAAAAGAAATCCCTGGAGAAGTCAATCCAGACTTATCAACCAAGACTAAATTTTGACCAAACAGGGTGCCACCATTATCTCGTAAGTTAAATGTATACCTCTACTAATATTAGCTTTCTAAATACAATATTTTTTAAAAAAGTATGACAATCTTTGAAGCATTTCAGACACAATAGAGTCATGCATTTTTTACAACAGTTGGTCAGAATTTTTCTCCTCTTTTCTCTTCGAGAAGTATGCATGCAGTCTAGATTCTACAAATAATACTGAAAAAATAAGCCAAAGACCCAGTTTTATTTCCAGTTAAATACTCTGAGAAAAGATATAACATTATAAATCCTCGTAAATAGTAAATACAAGAATCCTAGAGTTGGCAATTGATATTTGAATACTAAATAATGGTCATTGTTGTAAAAAGATTTAGTTGTAAAAAGACGCTTTGGGAAAGAGAAACATGCCTGTCAGAAGCCGAGTAAAGTATTAACAAACATGGAAAAATCGTTAGAAACAATGAAAAGAGTACTGAAATGTCGCATAATATCAGTTCTCTCATATGGCAGTGAAAGCTGAATAATCTACACAGAGATGAAGTGACTTGAAGCAAAAGAAATGTGCTTCTATAGAAGGAAGCTGAGAATAACATGGACCGAACATGTGATCACCGAAGAATTGTCAGGGCAAATGCAAGCACAATTGAGACTTTTACATAATAGAAGGAAGAGGTAATCTGATAAAATATACTTTTCAGGTGTGCTATATTATGGATTAAAGTGCTCAATATCAGCGATAGAGCGTATGTAATTGGAAAAGTGGACATTGAAGTCAACATCCAGAGGCGACAGTCTGTTTCATGCTAAAATCAATCGTCAGGCCATGTGCGTTGTGTTTTCCCTCCAGTTTTAATATATACAGATCAGTGATGCATTATGGGTAGTCTATTGTATTATTCCAACGGTTATTTTGTTTTTATTTACTTAGTTTATTTACTTATTTATCTGTTTGGATTAATTTATTTTACTTGATTTTATTTATTTTATTTTACTTATTTATTTTTGTTTATTCTTGTTCGTTTTCAGTTTTCGATTTTTAAGTAGATTAATAGAAAATTGTTTTCGTGTCTGCATGTTGAGATGAGCTCTGATCGTTTATTTAGTAGTTTGTTTTGGTCTGGGAAGGTAATTATAGCTATTTTTTCCTCCAGGCAGAGTTTACAGTTTTTGGATTGATTGTTGTAGGCTGATGTTCTTTTCTTTATTTTCCATGATATTTTTGGTGTGATTTGTACATTTTCCATGATATTTTTGGTGTGATTTTACACCTCCCATGTATGTTGAGAGAGCATTGTTCTGTTCGTGCATTTAATATTTGTAAAGGATACTTTGTGTGTGTAGTTTCTTTGTCATGTATATTTTTTCTTTGTTATCTGGTGATTTTACAGTGACTTGGTATATTACATTGTTCTGCAAGCAATTGCCATTTAAAGGACATTCCTTCTTTATTCTGCAGTTATACCCGGGTTTAATTTGTTCAGATAGTTTGTTAATTGTTTCCTATTCTGATTTTTTATTTTTTGTGTCATGTTCTTCGTACAAATATAGTTGATGTTCACAGTGTTTTTGTTGAATATCTTGTGGAGAGTGCTTGATGCGGTGAAGTGTTTGTGTATGAGTTTAATAAATATTTTCCTACGTTTGTTCTTACGTTGTTGTTGTCCGGTGGGTTGAACCATATGAGGTTTCTCTACCTGTGGGCTTTTTTTTGTGGTGTGCGGTGTGTGCCGTGTATGTGACTGTTGCAGTAATCCACTATCTTTTAGGGTTGTGTTATAATGTTTCTTATCTTCGTTGAATATGGTTTCATTGGAAGAATTATCGGATGGCGTGTGTGGTTAATTGATTGCGGCATCTGCCTGATTCTTAATGGTAGTTGGTTGGAAGATGTGTGTATATACAGTGGTTTATCATTGGGTTTGTATTGTTTATATGTAACGTTTGAAGCATACAGAATAGATGATGATTCAGGTAAATATCTGTATTTGAGGACGACCAAACGTTCCAACTTCCGCTTCCTTGAGACACAGACTAAATGAGTCATTTGCTGGCGAGCAGTAGAAGAAATTGTACATGTTCATGTTATAGTGTTTGAGGAAAATGAATGAAAGCATAAATTTTTGTGTGACGGCGGGTAAAATTATTTGTGAAAATTGAGCCCTATTAAAATGACTTATATTAAAAAGTTAAAAAAAAGTCTATTCAGAAGAAATTGCCTGAAATTTGGCTGACAAGTTAGTTCCGCACGATTATAATGTCCCTGTGCATGAGGCGTTAAGAATTTACAAATTCCCGGCTAAGAATTCCATCACAACGACAAAACCATCTACCTTATTCATTAAACCTAGACCCCTGTGATTTTGGACTAAAATTTAAAACATCCCCGAAATAACAAAGAGTTGCTTACATACTTGTCTACACATGATTACAGTACTGAAAAGGAAAGGAGATTCAAGAATGTTTTCAGCAAAAGCATCATCATCTCACAAATAACTTCACTGGGGAAGTACTTTGAAGTTGGCATCAGCCAACAGTGAACAGGGAAACAAACTTTTCTTTCACAAAGACATTCCGCACCCTGTACACACACACACACACACACACACACACACACACACACACACACACACATATATATATATATATATATATATATATATATATATATATATATATATATATCATATATTTATATATATATTACGTATATAGTATTTTATATGCACAACACATAGTGGAAAGTGGTCGATATCAGTAATAGAGTTAACTCATATTCAGTTGTATGGATATGAGTTTGTGACCCTAGGTTTCACGCTTTTCTGATCATCAGTGTGATGATCGCAAAAAAGCGTGAAACCTAAGGTTATAAATTCATATCCATACAACTAATCTCTGTCTGTATATATATATATATATATATATATATATATATATATATATATATATATATATATATATGAGATAAATGGATTATTGACTCACCCAGTGAGGCTCGGAATGCTCTTGAGCACATCATACCCAAGTATCCTGCGCTACATGACGGAAAGCAATAACCAAATTGTATTAATATTAAGACGCAAACCAGGCCGAAGAGCTGTGAAATTCCTTTGAGATCACATCATTAAACTGCTAAGAATGAATGAATGAATTTACTCTTTGCAGCTTATTTAAAGTCAGAACATTTTTTTTTAAATTGTAAGAATTTTTTTTTAGATAAAATGATTTAGTCTTCCTAATTCACCCATATCTGTGGAACGGAATAAGATGTTGATTCATATTTTTCGTAAAGATTATTTGCGCGTAAGTAAATATAAGGAACAGAAAGGTAATTGGAACTCAACTCCCTGATTAAAAATTCCGTGCTGTTATCGATTACACCACTTGAACTTACAGCAATTGGTATTTCCAAGGGGTCAACCATCTATGTACTGACCAGGATCTACGTTGCTTAAATTCAATCGTACGGTGTTTAAATGTGATATGATCATGAGCAAAATCTGCTAAGCGGAGAGAAACATTGCATAGCAGTCAGACTTAATATACACCAGGCGTGGCCAAAATTGCTTAATATAAGAGCAACGATAAAGTTCAGATGCTTGAATAACGCAAGACATAAACAAAATGTACACATACGTTTTTGTTACATAACATTAATATTAAACATACGTTTTAATTCAATTAGGTCTCAATTTATTTCCAATAAGTAATTATAAATCCTGGATTTTTTTCCTATTAACTTTTTATTTTAATTTTGATGAAAAAAGAAACTCAGTCAATATATTTCCACGGGCCACATATGCGACTCACGAAACAAGGTTTGGCCACCCCTGATATACATATCTGCATGTATTAATTTGTGTTTAAGCTTACCTGTTTTTTAAATGAATTAAGATGGGTTACAATAAGTATCTTTCTCATTAACACAGTTTTTCTTTTTCGTTGTCTGATTTTAACCAGTTGAACTGGTCTTCTAGGGTCTGACGTTTGGTGCACCTTACTTCATGAGCGAGCGTAGTGTGGGAACGTCATAGCCGAACGTCAAGAAGGCTGAATATTTAAGTTTGAAGGAGAATGCATCCAATGCGGTTGATACTTGGGAACACCGTCAATCAGATTGAAGGGAAGGGGTTAATCGACCCGAAGGTGTTTCAAATTATGCCTCATCTGCAAGGTTACGCCCTTCTTCTTCAATCTACCCTGTATATTCGGAACGTAGGCGGTCATGGCTCTTTCTAACCGTTCACCTTTAGCAGCGTTTCTCTCTTTGCCAAGCATCGAGTCCCACATTCTGCCATCCGATCACACAAGCTCGTCAGGTATGTAGCCCATTGCCTTCACCTATATCCCTTGTACTCAATACTCCCTGTGAGGTTTCAGTTCACCAATCCATTCTTATTTATTATGTGTCCAAGTCACTTCAGCCGTCTCTTTCCGGCTGTGCATATAAGCGTTTTTTTTTTCTTATCATAAGCTATTTTATCAGACAAGGCGAATTGAGCGATGAATTTAATTTAATCATATAAATCTTACTAATTAACCCATTGGTAGAGAGGAAAGAGGTGCACCCTTACCTTTGACAAGAGTATTTGTGCGTAAGTGAATATAACGAACCCAACAGAAAATTGAACTCAGCACTCCGATTAATAATTCCAAGCCATTATACATTACAACACCTGTATATACAAGTTTACATCATTGTATTCCCAAGCGGCCGCCCATCAAAGTACTAACCAGGCTCGATGTTGCTTTACTTCGCTGCTCATACGGGAAGTAGTATTTCAACATAACGATAAAAGAAGTGAACGTCGTGTAAAAATGGAAGAACGTTTCACTAAAAAGAAAATACGTAGAAGAATGTCGGAAAATATTCAAAAGATGACAGAAGAATAAACGAAAAAATCGGAAAGACAGTAGTATATCAGAATGTAACAGAAGGAAATTTTGGTAAAAATATATCTAGAAATAAAGAAAAAACGTGCAATCATTAAAAAAAAAAGATGTAAAGTAAGAAGAAGAAAAAGAAATAGTGAAATTACACAATGGATTTCTGGAAATAAAGCTTAAAATGAAGGAACATTTTATCACAAAAAAATATCTAAAGAAAAATTAACATTAAAAGTAAAAGAAAAAAAAACATAACGAGAAAATTTAAAAAAGAAAGAAGATAACCCGTAGAATTGGAGAGCTGTTTGATAAAAAAAATATCTATAAAAATAAAAGAAAGTAAAAAAGAAAGTTATTTTATAACATTTATCTTAGTTTGAAATTCAACTTCTTTTTAAATTAAACAATTCACCGTGTTTTTTTATGGTTTCCTTTCAGAGTCGGCATTGTTAAGTGTTGTCGTTGCCTTTATTTCTATGCACATTCTGTCGCAAAGGCGCACTGGAAAATTGTATGTGTGTGAAAGAGGATTTTTTTTTTTGTAGATTAAAACTTGCTAAATTTGCCGGCCTTCCGAGACCAAGTACACTAGGTGTTGCAGGTGTTACGCTGCACGCGTTTATACCTATATACACAGCTTATGTAAAGCATCACCTCACTCAGATTAACCTTTAAGTCGTTTTCAAATTCAGAAATAAAGCTATTACAAGAAATGCATGAAAACAATAATTTTTGCAACTTTCACGATGAAAAGAACACACGGACACATACAATATACGAATTTATTATCGAGTGTATGTGTAGCACACCAACTAACTAAAATAGAAATATATGAAGCACAATATACTCAATGATATCTAGTCTGAGAAGGGTACGCCAGTTACATGCATCATAGCCAAATTGCTTTCAGGTCGGGTAATTCAGCACGCTTAGACAGTATGCGATTGAGGGTTACCTAAGGAAATTCATGATGCGGTTCTTTGACATCATACCACGCGAGAGGACGAAATATTAACAACAGAACTATATGCCCAGATGCAATGTAATGTGTTTTGCCTAATGAATTTACGACCTGTGTCTGCTATTCCGCGACCATTATCGTCGCACAGCAATCCTCTACGTCAACATAACAGAATATCATCTTTGATGGTGAATATCTTTGTTTAAATATACATATAACCAATTTGAAGATGGCTCATGCTAGCTGAAAGCTTTGACCAAGGAACAGCATAATAAAAAAGATATCCAAACTTTGGACTAATTTTTGTCTTTATTTTCTCCTGAAATTAAAGTAAATATACGAAATTTAGAATGGCTCGTGATCAAACATAATAGACATTCATTTTCTGTTATATTTAACAATATATGTTTAAATAATGATATGCTGCCACATACACACACACACACACACACACACACACACACACACACACACACACACACACACACACACATATATATATATATATATATATATATATATGCATGTTTAATTAAAAACGATAGACAAAGTACTACGGTTAAGTTTTCTATTTAATTTTTCTTGTGTTCGAACAAGAGTTTTCTTTTATGGACAAAGGGTGTGTAAAAACTGTCCAAATGGAAGCTTTAATAATAACAAAGAAAACCCAACTCTTAACAATGTTAACTACGAACAAGGCCACAATGTGCTAACCGTATTCGGAAATTAAAAACATCTCTACAACCCCCCAAAAAACATACACATAATGCACACACTCAATTAAGCAGAAAAATTGAATCATCCTTTGTAATGTCTATAGGTATAGCCGAAAGCACTCGGAACTATAAAACATTTGAACAGTTTTTACACACTCTTAATCCAGAAAAGAAAGCTCTTGTTCGAACACAAGAAAAATTAAATAAAAAAACTTAACCGTAGTACCTTTTCTGTCGTTTTTAATGAAACATGCATAAACGAAGGATTGCTGCCTAAATATACAACTATATATATATAGTTTTAAAAACAAGGAATGTATTGATTTTAATTTAGAAAGTCTCTAAGGCCCTTTCAACCAACATCTCATCAGGAGACAATCGTTGGATAATTAATCAACGAAAAGAATATTAACGACAATGAAGAGCAAAAAAAGGGGGGGAAACACAATAAAATAACAAACAAGTGTATATACTTGTAACGAGGGGAGGGGAAATAACGTGTAAATAAATTAGCGAGGGACAGTTAAAATAAACTATCCCCCAACAGATTAACAGACTTTACAAATTCTTTCTGTCGACAAAGAGAAGGTTTCCTTAATCCTATGCAGACCGATTCCAAAATCTTCAAATGATTGTTGGAATCGGCTGTATGAATAATTTTAAACCACTCTTTTTTATACGACTTGGCGCAGGCTATATTCTCAACTAAATGTTGAGCAATAGCCGATTCCATATTCATGGGGGGAAGATAGCATATTTTATCTATCTTACCAAGTCGTATTTTTTGTAGATTAATATATATATATATATATATATATATATATATATATATATATATATATATATGTGTGTGTGTGTGTGTGTGTGTGTGTGTGTGTGTGTGATACATGCTGTAGTGAAGTGCTGAAATTACTAGTGTCTAATACAGTATCTGTGATAGTGAATTGAAGCCTTAATAGCTGCTTCACACTTGTATCTTTATGCATTATTAGTTAATTGTAAAGAACAGTAAGCGTATTTTGCTAAAAATGACTGTTGCATCGATTTAAATCAGTACCGATGGCTTTGCATTTATGAAACTTAATGTCTGTTTTTCTGAAGTCATAAATGTGAGGACATAACTGTGTATGTGAAACATTTGATTTTTCATGCATTTATCACTTTTCAATCGACATATGTGTATGTTTATTTAGATACACTGTACGATTTTTCCTCCAATTTAAGCTGTGCGTTCGTCTCAACCGTGCTCTCACAGTGCAGGGATAGTGAGATAGAAAGAGAAATAGTGTGAAAATTAACATCATAAATATAGAAAGAAAACCTGCTATTTTTTCCTTTTTAACAGGTTCGCATCTGCAAACTATCGGCTCAGCTGTACGGGCAGTTTCACGACATTTACGACAAACAGTAAATACGTCTAACCGAAATCCTAGTGAAAAAAGAAAACGTGCGGAATCGGTCGATTTGAACGCGATCGGCCAACACAATTTGGCCAGGAGCGAAATATGTTCGCAAGTTTTTTTTTCTTTTCTATAAGACATGAATGGATGTTTATTTATAATTTAGGCTGACTGATCGCTACAATCCTTGCTTCTTATATTCGGTCTGATACTTCAAGACCGAGTTCGAAGACTGACAAAAGAAAGATTTTAAACAATATTTATATGAAAATTATATATTTCTTGGATTTATACACGTGCTTACTAAGCTTAAAATATGTGCGTCATGTCCCGGTTCTGGTCGCAGAAAATGGAATAGGCGTGTCGGGTTCAAATTCAAGCCGAGGTCGTTTCGTTCCCTTGTATACAAACACTATTGGAAAGATATAAATCCACATCTTCTCCATCCAGCTAGAGATTACCAGCATTCGCTATCACTGGTTGGCAACCACTCGAGGAGAATAAAAACTATGAGTACCAAACCTGTTTGCGCTTTGGGAAAGCAACTCCACACCATCAAAACATACATTCTCAGCAAACCACAGCAGCAACCCATAATCTGATGATGGTGTGGCCTTATAATCCACTGGGAGTCTGCAGGCTACATAATAATTAAAATTTACTACTCAGCCTAACTGCCAATTCAATAGAAAAATATTATTTAGTACCGTGTGTTTAAAAAAAGAGGGTTACCCTTTAAGTTGTAAATTCTGACCTTCACAAATGATTGTCGGTTTCACTGTCAAACCAATCGCACCCATCTAACAGGACACCGACAAATATTTATTTCTGTCCTGGGTATGACGATAAACTTCATCCGCGTCCTGTGTAAGACGATAAACTACGTCCAACACCAAGGCCTCTGGTCAGGAGGTTTTGAGGAGCGTGGAACAGCCTCTTAATTGCTGGTGTTCCCAGGTCCATCCTGACCCGGTGTGGTAGCACCTGTTAGGGTCCCAGCTATGGGCAAATAGTTAACACCGAAACTGAGGTAAAAATCATTATAAAATATTACCAGCAATACGTTTTTGAAGAAAAAAATATTAACAGAAATAGATTTTTGGCAAAATATTACCAGGAAAAAAAGTTGTCGGCATTAAATAACCCATTGAGGTGTTGAAATTCTGTAAAACAAAACAAACCGAACCAAACCAAACAAATACTTATTTATACAGGTAAGGTATGTGCAACTTGCAAAAATACAAGCAGGAAACATCTACTCTGGTAAAACCAAGGTGTGCTTCACTTGCAAGGTGTGCCGACCTGGTTTCTGTGGGAACATCCATTAAAAATCATAACAATCAAAGCAACATCAGCTAATTAGATTTACCTGACTAATAAGAAAACCCTAGTGTCAGGATTTATCGTACATATATTTAAGACTGTTTGAGAGTCGCAGAGTGATTTCTTTTCCCCTTGACAGTTTCACTTGTTGATGTTTGGCTCTCGATAAAATCACAGATTTCGAATGTCCAAACAGTCAAGTTCTCCACTTTCGGAAGATGAGACAACATAAGGATGGTTTCAAATATGCATTCAAAATTTTTTGGCTCTTAGGAAAAATGCTATTTTTTTTAATAATTCAGCACCGGGCGTAGTAATACTTTAGCCATTATCAAGGACTTCAGGTGTTAATGAGATATCCGAAAGTATCACAAATAATAAAAATCCAGAACAAAAAAATAACAAACTACAATAATGCAACCAAGGAACCTCAATGCATTTGCAGAAATAGAACAACATGTCCACTCCAGGGAAATTGCCAACAAACAAATGCAATATA